ACAGTGTGCCTGACGTGGGAAGGTTGTACCTAGGCAGAGGATTCATGAGGCATATTTGCCTGAGGGGTGGAATGCAACCATGAAGCAGGATCATTCCACCTAGTGTGCAGCTTTCTGTATGTGGGTAGGGGTTGAATCAATCAAACTTTCCATCTTTAGATTCAGTATTTTATTTTCCTGCCTCAGGAAGAGCTTGGCATACCAGTGGTAACTTTCCTCTTCCACCTCCTCTCATGGACTAGGCCAATACTTCAGAGCACATCACACACAACGGAGTCATTCAGTAACATTCCCCTGCTCTTACTACAGAGCACTTTCCACAGAGATGCCACGGGTGAGAATTCTGAGACCACCATTTAGGAGAGATTCTAGATAGCCCCATGTTAGGGGGCTTATTCCTTCACCCTCTCACTTCCCTGGTCCTTCTCACATGAAGAGAGCAGCAATGTCCAAAGGCGCAAACAATTCAATGTTTATTAGGGTGAACTTCCAGCAAGCAATGATTCCGGTTTCCTTCCTCAGTGTCCCACTTCCCAGCTCTGACACCACAGAGCCTTGCCTGTGTCCCTGTTCCCATTCCCCCCTCTGATGGTCCATGCCCCTAAGGTTGCGAGCGGCGTGGACTATCCACCACCGTCTGTCAAATAGCCCTTCAGTCCAGGGCAGTATGGCCTAGTGGCCAGAGTCTGATGTCCCCTTTTCCTCAAGGGGACATGGCTTGACGGCAGGAGTCTAACACAGCCCTCGGTTACCGGGCAGTAGGGCCTAGGGGCCAGAGTCCAGGAAGCAACCCTCGGGTGGAGGGTAGCGTGGCCTAGCAGCCAGAGTCCAGGAAGCAACCCTTAGGTGCAACAGCCCCAGTAGGGGGGCCCCTGACCTGGGGCCCTAACTGTAGTGTAGGGCTTTTCCACCAACTCAGCGGGGGGTTCTGACCGAAACACGCTGAATTTCCCTGGGGGGGGGGGGGGAGAGAAGGTACCACTCTGTCACCCTCCCGGGGTCCCTTCCTACAAGGCTCTCTGTTGGGGTCTCCCAGGAGTTGTCGGGTCCTTGGTACTCGGCAGATTTGGTTGTCCCCTGGGTCTCCTCCAACCGCTGGGGTGCCAGCGGGCCATGGACGGCGTCTCTTCCCGGCGCAGTCAACGGCTGTGGCTGGTCTGCCACAGGCGCTTCCCCGGCAGGTCCTTCTCCTACAGGCTCCAGCCCAGAATGAGCTGGTCTCCCTCCCTTTATACTCCTATTGCACTTGGAGCATGCCCAGTCCGCCCAGGGAGGCGGGACTTCTGCTGTCAGAACCTGGGACTTAAACTCCTTCTGGGTTAAGGCAGGATAGCCTAGCCCTGCCACACACCCCTTAGCAAAACATGATTCCAATTCCCCCCCACACTTCCTGATTTACTATATAGTCTGCAGTCAAACTTTGGTTTCAGAGCTAAGCAGAACTCATTGTTTTACTGAAGTTTAACTAACCAATCCTAACATATTGTAACATGATTATCTAACCAATTATATTCCACCACCTTAATTGGTTTACACCCAACAAAATTAATTATACAGCAGACCGAAACAAATCACAGAACCAGACAGATTATACAGACTAACAATAGGGAAATGGGGACTACAGTGATAGAACAACAAAGAAAAGAGATTTTCACACTCCAGCTATTGATAAGTGAGTTCTTGCCAGACGGGATGCTTCAAACTAAGTTTTCTTTAAATCTTCTAGGCTCTTCCCTTTCTCTGGAGATGATAGATTGCGTATGGGTAAGGATGGCCCTGGGTGATCCAAAGTACGCAGCTGTGTAGGGTACCAGGAAACTTGGGGCACCAAATTTCCTGGTGCCCTGTGTACTGCTCCAGCCCCTGCTGCCTCTTCCTGCCCCAGCCCTGCCCCCCACTCCA